GAAAGCTTAGGTGAGTCTCCTCTAAATTATGGGTAGCCCAAATGCCTTGAATAGAATGTGGAGGAAGTTTGGGGACTTCCCAGTTAGAGTAATAAAAATCTTAAGGCTTCTCTGAGTGCCTTTGGGAACCTAGTGTCATATACAACTTCCTGCTTGAGCCTGCCACGCTGGAGAGGCTGTGAGGAGACACACTCATCCATGGTCACGAGTGGACAGCCTTCTAGCAGCCCTGTCATCTCTGTTGTGACACAGGACAGAAGGGTCACTGAGTCCTGCTGGAATTCCCCGTAAGACTGTGAGACACAAGGTCATGGTTTTTACATCCAAGTTGTTGAGTCATCTCTTATGAGGCCATACGTGATAGGACAGATGCACACAGTTGCACCTGCACCTTGTTTATGGGCTCTTGTCATGGTCATGATACTGCACATAGATCAGGGTTTGAAAAGAAATTACAGCACACCAACACCTCTACACAGGAGGCAGAGGTAAGGCTTGGAAGTCAGCTGCTCATGTCAGAGGAGCAAGGAAATCGCCTAAATGGGAGAGAAGTGGGCAGTGAGCAGTTAGGCTTGTACTGAAAATCCTAGCTGTGCGTCTCCTCACTAACGTGGCTGGGAAGGTGGGGTGCTGAAACATGTGTTAGACTCCAAGGCAAACAAGACTACCCTCATCCTGTGCCCTCAGTGGCAAAACTGGAAGTTCTTGTACAGGCTCAATTTTTGTGAGTGTAAAACTGCCACACGTGTTCCTCCTTTGCATTGCTTGCCGTGTCCTGCAGAAGAGTTACAGAGGGTCTGTAGCGCTAAACACAAACTGACCATAAGGGGATTTCCATGGGTCCACTCATACTGATTTGTAAGGGCAAGAGGCCTGGGAGCTTGTGCTCACACTGGGATCAAGAGACTTGGTCCCAGGCTCCTCCCACCCTGGTTATCAGTCCTTGGAGCTGCAGGCATCCTTTAGCTGTGGACAGCCACATAAGGGGCTGTGGGATGCGGCACAACTCTCCAGTGGCATGGGTGGCCTGGTTGTTGGGTGTGAACTCCAGCAGGCCACAGCTGGGAAGAAACAACTCCATGAAGATGTCACAAAGGGCTTATAAGAACCCCTTAAGCCCACCTCTAAGGTTATTTCCTTCTCTCTCTTCTAGGATTGGCAACTGTAGGCTGGTGCCCCTTGCCAGCATGGAATCACTGTTACACACTGGCTGCAGTCTGCACAGCATGGGTCTCAGGTCCCCTCCTGGGAACAGAGCGCAGCTCATTTGCCAGAGAAGCGTCAGGAGGGACCAAGCCAAGACCAGAGTGTGAAGAAGGAGATAGAAAGCGAGGTGCCGCCATGTGCCCACAGGCTGCATGCTGGGCTGGATGATGTCTCAGTGACAGGTGGTGGATCTGGCGGAGGGGATGAAGGGACCGACGACTCATCAAGTCCATAGCGGGGGGCCGGCAGGGCTGCCTGGGCCCCTGCCCCTGAATCCCTTCGCTCCCTGTCCTGTCCTCGTGTTCCTTCGTCCTCACCCTCTGGCCCCGTGACCCCATATCCTACGTTGCTTGCACCCCATATATCCTATTTCCACGTCTCCTCAGTCCATGTGCCCCATCTCCCAGACCTCATGTCCCCTAGCCCCGGCTCCCGTCTGGATGCTCCCGCTGACCCTAGTCCCCGTGTCCCCCTCCTGGATATCTCCCGGTTCCCGTGTCCATGCCTCGATGTCCCGTCAGCCCTGGCCCCCATGTCCCCCGCCTCGATAAGCCCCGAGACACCCTCCCGGTGGCGGCGCCACAAGCCTAGTGGCTCTGCGCTGGTAGCTCAGCCGGGCGGAAGCCGAGGGGCGGGCCCTACACCACCCCGCCTCTCTGACAGTGCGCACCAATCAGCACGCGGGCTCATGAATAGTGAAGCGAAGCGCGCCCCGCCCCCTCACGCCGGCGCCAGTGCCCGCCCGCGCAGAGCCGAGCGCGGCGCGGAGAAGATGGCGACGGCCATGTACTTGGAGCACTACTTGGACAGTAAGAACGCGGCTCGCCGCCCGGCCTGCCGCTCGCGAGGCGCCGTCGCCACCCAGCTCCCCCGCGTGGCGGGCCTTGCGCGGCGGGCGGCCG